TCTCTCGCTGTGTCTCCCCTCTGTCAAATAAATAAATAAAATATTTAAAAACAAATAAAAAATAAATAAAACTATAAATAAGAACCAAATTTATACTTTTATTGTTTAAATATAGTCCGCATTCTGAAACTCTAATTTTTAAGGAAATATTTTAAATCTTATCTAGTTATTATTCTCTTTATTTTTCTAAATGTTTCTATATTATCTAAAACCGTGATTTTTTCAGACTTTGGCCTTGTGAGCCCTATCTCTATCTTCTGACTTCATTAGTTTCAAAGTTTTTCACATACACTTGAAGAGTACATCAATAATTCCTCTATTAGTTAATTCTTCTCCATTTTATAATCCTGTGATCTTAAAGAATTGAATAAAGGGTTATTGTCTGAGATAATGGGGGGCGGGGAGAAGGTGTTCCATGGCAAGAATGGCTGGGCCATCCTTTTTACTTTTTATTTTTATTTTTTTAAGTCCTCTCTCCACCTAGTGTGGGACTTGAAACTCATGACCCCGAGATCAAGGGTCGTACTTTCTACCGACTGAGCCAGCCAGGTGCCCTTGGGCCATCCTTTTCAGACTTCCTTTCATTAATAGGATTTTTATACTACCTGTAATAGCCCACGATTCTTGACTTATAAATAACACTGGTCTTTTTACTTACAGGCAAAGTTCTGCCAGAATGTACTGAATTAGGGTTGCCGTGTTATTTGCTTTTGGGAAATTGTTTCCTGATATTCCAGACAGATCCACAGCTGAATGGGGGCCAGACTTATACACTGTCTCATTACACTGAGAGTCTGTCACTAATATAATGTATTCTCTCCAGAAAATTTTGCATTTGGAAAGAGGATTTTGTTCTAACCTTAGGAGTGAGAGACCTCTTGCTTCAGTGTAATGTCCAGGGAATGATGTATTATTTGGATTTTGAGACTATTTGAATGGGAAATACTGTCGTTCTCCTGGTTTAGGAAAACGTCGCATAGAGCCAGGGAATAAAAGAATTGTGTTTCCTTTAGAAACACAGTACTTACTTCCAGGTATGACTAGAACACTTGGAGTGCAATGAAGCCCTGTTGTTTATTTTATGCTGAGTTGTTTAAACCTCCCTACTATCTTGTCTCTGGAGAATTGTGTCTTTTTCCAGTGGGTGCTCTTTATGTAGAACAGCTTTTGTCCACCGCATAGACGAAAGCTAACGCACTGCATACATGACATAAACAATCTTCTACTTACAATCGGGATGGCTTCCAAAAGTTCATCTGTAAGGCATTTGTTTAGAACTCGGAATGTGTTTGTCCTTAGAAACACTGGTACAGATGATAGTTGGGGGCGAGGCTAGCCCACCGAAGCCTATTTCATGCATACTGTAACCGAACTCATACTATGATGTAGTATACATCCTGGAAGGAGGGGTTCTCATGCAGTAAAAGGAGGATGAGGAAGAGAAGAGGTTTGTCTTCCTGCTTCCAAGGGTCTCCATTGCCAACCTTCCTCATCCTCATCCATGTGGGAGAGGTTGGAGGGATTCCTGCCTCTCAGTGTTCTGCACCACCTAAACAACCCCCCCTCACGGATGCCCTTAGAATCCTGTAGTTCAGCTGGTCTCAGAAAAGAAGGAATCTGATCTTCTGACCTCACACGTGCTTCTGTACAGCTCACTCTGGTCCTAAACCCTCTAATTTGTGAGTATGTATTTCCTACTCCAATAATTAAAGATTTATAGTCAGGGGGTGCCTGGGTGGCTCAGTCGGTTAAGCGTCTGCCTTTGGCTCAGGTCATGATCTCCACGTGCTGGTATGGAGCCCTGCATCGGGCTCCCTGCTTAGCAGGGAGTCTGCTTCTCCCTCTGCCCCTCCCCCCCCCACTCATGTGAGCACATGTGTGCACACTCTCTCTCTTAAATAAAATCTTAAAAAAAAAAAAAAGATTTATTTATTTGACAGAGAGAGACACAGCGAGAGAGGGAAGAGTGGGCATACAAGCTGGGGGAATGGGCAGGGGAGAGGCAGGCTTCCCGAGGAGCAGGGAGCCCGATGCGGGGCTCGATCCCAGGACCCTGGGATCATGACCTGAGCTGAAGGCGGACGCTTAACGACTAAGCCACTCAGGCGCCCCATGAAGACTATTTCAAAAAGGAGAAATGATATTTGGAGACTGGACCACCATATAAAAGAAATTGTTGTCTCTAAGCCCCATGGTTCTCCCCAGGGGTGATTTTGCCCCCAAGGAATATCTGGCAACATCTGGAGACATTTCTGATCATCACAAATGGACATATAATGGGTAGAGGCCAGAGGTACTGCTTATTACCCTAAAATGCATAGGACAACCTCCCTCCCCTCAACACACACAGCTTAAAGAATCAATAGCGCTGAGGCTGAGAAACCATTTTTGAAGCATGTCCCAAAGTATGGGTTGTTTACAGGTGTTACATTGGGCGTATCTTGGCCAAAAAGTTTGGAAAATGGAGAATTTAAGAGTTGACTGTGTGTGCTAGGTTGGCTAGCAGTGGTAATTTTGGTTCTTCCCCGCAAACCTCCTCCCCAGACATTTGGAATGAGCTATACCTTCTAATTCAAATTAACAAGGGTGTATTAAGAACCTACTAGGCATCATCAGTGCTGGACTAGAGACACAGCAGGGAAAGAGTCCGAATTTCCCGTCCTCAATGAGTTCATAGTCTAGTCGGGAAAGAAAAACAATGATCTCCATAGATGTGTGTGTCGTGTGGAGGGGCTGGGGTGGGAAGGGAGTGTGGGAAGGTGCTCGGTGCTGTGAAGAACAGAAATGAAGCAGGGAGTAAGGATTAAAAAGGTGGCCGAGGAATGGGAATTTTAAAAGGGGAGGTCAGGGGATACACCATTCCAAAGCACCCTTACAGCAGCATCTGAGATGAGCGAGTCAGCCGTGTGGTGATCCGGAGGGAGAGATTCCAGGCTCAGCGCAGAGCAGCTGGGAAGGGCCTCGGGTGGGAGCCTGCTGGGCTGGTAGCCAGGCCTTCTGCCTGGAGGATGCCCCTCAGCCCCTCTTTCATAGAAATTCTGTAGGCCCATTAGGCAGTGGAGAGAGTTGGGTCCAGCACGAGCACTTCCTAAAGCTGACCGCTGAGGCATCAGAGTGCCTCCTGTAGGAGTCACGTTCTATGAAGGGAACATAAAGAAATGCCACTTAAATAGTGTATTACTGGTTTTACAACTCTTTCCCTTCTTCCACAGAAGGATTTTGAATATCTGAAAACTCAAGGTAATTTCCATGCAGGGGCTGGAGCACATTTGGAGGAGAGGGAAATGAAAGGTCCAAAACCGGGATTGAAGTGTGTGGGTGTTCAGAATGTTCTCGCCTGGCCCACGGGCGGCCTCTCTTGGGTTCCTGGGCCTGTGGTAGTCGAAGCCTGGTGTGGCTGATGTGGATGCAGGGCATTTGGCATACATACTGACAGTTGCAGAGCTGAGCTGCATGTCTTGAGTCACCTGCAAGCTTCTAGCTAAGATTTCATGGCACCCCAAGAGAAACGGCACTTGGAGTAGACCCCGAATATTACCCAGCGGGCAGGATGCTCTGTGTTCTCGGCTCTTTTGTCACTGAACTTTACAGATAAGAAGCTGAGGTCTTCCCCTAAAGAGTAACAATCCCGTCTTTGTTGGAGAACAGTTTATTTCCTCATAGTTGTCTTCCTTACAGAGATAAGAAAGGGATTTAAAACGTGTGGCCTTTTTTTCCAAAACTTTTTTTTTCACTCCATTTAGGACACAGTGCTTTACACCTCGCAGCCAAGAACAGCCACCATGAATGCATCCGGAAGCTCCTTCAGGTAACATGGAACAACCTAAAATGATGTCAAAATTTAAGAGTACCCTTATCTGTGAAAGAACAAACACACGCACGCTCCTTTAAATACCATCCCAGAAACTGCATTTCCTAAGAGGCATCATTCTTTAAATGATAACCAAGGAGAAGATTATTTCCATAGCAGTTGGCGCTGGTAAGGGAAGAGGATCCTAATCAGAATTTGGAGTGTCTTCCTGGGATCCAGCCTTTTTCTCTCCTTCATTCAGCTCCTCATTTTCTTTCCTGAAAGGCTTGTATCCCTTACGTAGTCAATTTTAAAAACTTTTTCCATGCTGTCGGAGATCCTTATGGTACAGGATCTCCAGTATCCTAGTATTCTCTCCTTCTGTCATTGGGAGAACACAGCTCTTACTGAGAAACAGAATTTTCACCGCTGTTTCCTCATACGTAACTTTTAATGAGCTTTTAGTTCTTGGTTTTTGTTTAGGTTCTTGGTTTTATTCTTTATCATTTCAAGCCAACTTCCGGGTTTGCTAACCTTGCCCTCTTATAATGCTCATGTAGTGGGACGACCTCTGTAAATCCTTAAAGATGAATATTTAATGAACTCCCGATAGCAGTCCATACCGTAACACCCAGCTGTTGCCAGTCAGAATGCAAGCCGGGGGTTTTCAGGAACGGCACAGAGCAATAAAACCCGCGCTTGGCAGACTGTTCTGTTGTGCTGCTGCGTCAGCCTTCACGAGCAAGCGCTGTGTGTGACCGGCATCTTGCTTTAATTTGGCTTTGCAATTCTAATGCAGAAATGTGGTCACATTCTTCAACTTGTCGTGCTCTGTTGATCACACAGCTTCTTGTCTTCCATTACATGATGTAAGCTACCACCAATGCTGGGAATGCATAACCTTAACAGGTCTTTGAAGTGAAATTCAAGAAAAATAGATCAACATCTGTGATTATTATTATTATGTCTTTTATTATGAGGCGTCTCTCTGAAAACGGTTAAAATAGAACTTCTCTGCCTTCTCTGAGACCCGGCACTCTGGATAAATGACAAATCACTGACTTGTCCCAGTATCCTGCCTCCATACCCTTGGCCTTCCCTTCATTTTTTCTTTACCTTATTTGTATTTTAAATCTCCATTCCCAGTCTGGCTTGGTTATCCAGACTTTGCATCTGGCTCTAATTTTCAGGAAGAATGAACTTGACAAGCTGGAAATCCTCATGGGCAAGGACCAGATATTCTAGCCTCTAATGTAATTTTATATCTGGTTATGCAAATGGATTGGTTTTTCTCTGGAATCTTTGAAGCCTTTAAACACTTCCTTGTGCTATTCTAAAATTAGGCCAAAGCATGGTAAGTCGTAACTTGATCTCCATTCTTCTTACCACTGACGGGCAGACAGACATTTCACTCTAACATTGCCTGTTCTTGCCTCTAACTTGCAAACTTGCTGTTCTTCTTTCTGAATAGTTGCTAAAACCTGAGGCTTTGATGTCCTACGAATGGGTTGCTTTCCTTGGGTCCTGGACCTCTCTAGCCAATTCTTCACTTGTGTCTTGGCATCCCCTGCCCTCTGTGTTGGGACTCTTGTTATCTCCTGCCTTCCCTTACCCTCTGTACTTAATCCACTGTAGGCTCTCTAGGCCTTTGCTTTTACTGTCTGCTGGAGAGACTTCTCTTCTCCAGTGGCTACCATTTTAAAGTTCTGCCTCCTGAAGGCAATGAGCACAAAGAGTCTTGTGAGATTCTTCAAATTCAAATGAACTCTCTCCCTCCCCCAAGAGCCCGCTAGGCCCCCCTGCTTTTAACAAGTGCCCCGTGGGCACCATGCACTGTGTCAAGCATTGAATATATGCTCACGAACAGAGAACAGAGCAGCCCCTATCCTGATGGAGCTGGCCATCTTGTAAACAAATCCGCAAATACACATTACATATTGCGTAACATCATGAAGAAAACTAACAGAGACCTGAGAGAGAGGAGTGTGGGGTGGATATTCAGGGAAGGCCTCCTGGAGGAGGTGATATTTAAGCTGAAAATGACGGAAAGAGCCAAGGGGAAAACATCTCAAGCAGAGAGAAGAGCAAGTTACAGAGGGCCTCCGGTAGGAAAGGCTCTAGTTAGGGAGGAAAGAAAGCCTGGGGCAAAACGGGTGAGGAGGAGAAAGAAGGACATGGGGTGCCGGCCTATGTGGCATAATAGGCAGACTGTAACTCCTCTAAGCACAGCATGGAACTGTGGAGGGCTTTAAAGGAAGGACTGATACTCAGTTTTAAAAGATCACTCTAGTCCTAGAGAGAATAGGAGCAAAAGCAAAGCTGTGGAGACCACTGGGAGGCAGCCACAGCTTGTCTGGGTGAGAAGGTGCTGGCTTAGCTGACGGGGTGATCATGGGGAAAGAGAGAGTAGAGCAGGTGTATTTAGGACACAGAATTGACAGGACATGGTGGCGGAGGGGAAGGAGAAGAAATCAGAGATGGCCCAGTGATCTTTGGCTAGTTGGCTAGTTGGGTGATGGTGCTGTTGACAAAGACAGGGAAGCGTCAGGGAGAGGAGACCAGAAGTCTGGGCTGGGCTGCATTTGAGGTGCCTACAGGGAGCGGGACTGTGAACTAGGCAATGGGTTTTCCAGCCTGGCACTCAGAGATGGTGTCTGTTGTGTACAGAGAAGAACATGGGCTCTAGCCCAGCACATCTGGGTTTGAATCCTGGCTCTGCCACTTCCTGTGACTTGAGTAAATTATTAACTTCTTTGTATCTCAGTTTCCTCAAATGATGGTGGGAGTGATAATAGTATCTATCTAGGGTTGTGAGGAGCCTTAAAACAATATTTTGAAGAGTGCCTGGCACGTGATAGCTAATAGGCACTATTGTGGTGGTTATTGTTAAGATTTCCATTTGAGAGTCATTAGCCTCTTGGTGGGTGTGGATGAGATTGCCAAGGAAGAGAGCAGCGAGGAACCCCAAGGTTCTGTTTGGCTAACGGAGGGGGAGTGGCCAGAGCAGGGGCCAGGAAAGCAGGCTAGCGTGGAGCCGAAAGGAAGGAATGTTTGGAGAAGCGGGTGGATTGCTGTAGGGGGAGGACACAGATGTTTGTTGTTGTGGGAAACATGAAGGTTGTTGGTGACCGACTAGGGCCATCTCTGTGGAGTCTGGAGGACAGCACGCAGCTGCACTGGGTTTGGAAGTGAATGGAAAGCGAGGGAGCCTGGATTGCACGTGGGCCGTTCTTGACAGAAAGTTGGTTTTGTGAAGAGGGATAGAGAATTAGGGCAGGAAATGGGGGGAAAGATGGGATCAAGGTGAGAACTCCTAGAGCATGTGTGTTAGCTGGTGGGGATGATCTGCTGTGATGGGGTGCTAGTGTGAGAGAGAGGACAGGACAGCCAAAGCAACAAAGAGGTGACCTCTTGCCTGGGTCACCATTACTTGGAAATGAGTCCCCCTCCCCCCCCCACCTCCCCAGTAGGCCCCGGAGCACAGCAATCGGGGCTTATTCCTATTTAAACTCTTCCTAATAAGATACATCATAACCTTGCAGGAAAAGGATGAACTAAACAGAACTGAATTTTATTATGTGTATTTATTTATTTTTGTCTTCTAGTCTAAATGCCCAGCCGAAAGCGTTGACAGTTCTGGGAAAACAGCTTTACATTATGCAGGTGACTTTCAGTATCTTATTTATCTTCTGCCACAAGAAATACTAAATTTTCCTTTTCCTCATTCAAGCCATGATCTTTCCTCATTCAAGCCATTTTATTTCTGATGCTGTTGTCTGTCATCATTCCTAGAATTTCCATTTCCCTCAGTTTGCAAAATGTGTGGAGTTTTATCAAAGAACACATCTAGAATTCATCAGTTGTGCCAAACAATCAGTAAAAATTGTCATGGTTATTGTATTTTAATTAATGTAAGCTTCTTATTTAAGAGGCACTCATAAGCATTTGCAGATTTCATGTGATGTTTGATACAGACTTTTTTGATTTGGGACTCAAAAGAAACCCCAATTTTCTTTATCAGTGTTCTGTTTTACTGTCTGTTTTTATCTCACACAACTCCAAGTAATAGGATGCTGACACCGAACTCAGGAATGATGAGATTTATAAATTCCTGTTAGTGCTCGTTGTGGACAAGCTAAGTCCTTACAAAATGCTAAACCAAGTATTTGTATAAGGGCAACTGGCAGCCACTGGCTTTAGGTCTGGAAACATCAAAATTTAATAGTAATTGAAAACGCCTTACTTAACCTTCCTGATACCATTGCTCTTCAGTGCAACTAGAGTAACATAGGCAAACTGGGTGGGACGCGAACTTTCCATGTCCTGAACGTGTTTGACATCCCTGCTTGTGTGAACAGCGTTGTGATGGGCTGTGGTGTTTGCTTCCTTCCCCAGCGGCACAAGGCTGCCTTCCAGCCGTGCAGGCTCTTTGCGAGCACAAAAGCCCCATAAACCTCAAGGATTTGGTGAGTATCGGGCGGCTACTAGATGGACACTGGTTTCTAGAGCGCTCTGGGCTACTCCCGAAAGTCATGAAGACATTTAGAGACCTAAGCATTTGGCCAGACTAGTGATTTCCAACCTGGGTCCTCTTCTGCCAAATGGATTCAAGTATTCTCTCCACTGGTCCCTGAACCATTAACAAGACATTTTGCAACATGCACTTCCTGATGTGTATATTTGTTTCTGAGCTTGTCTGCCATCAACCTAAATATTAATAAGGCTGACTTTCTTGATTTTTAGAAATAAGAAATAAGTCTAAATTGAAGTTCTATTATTTCTGTTCTTTCCCATGTATCGTCTTGGGTACTCTGGGTTAGGGTTTCTCAACTTTGAAGACTGCTTCTAGACTCTTTTAACCTTGCTGGACTATTTTGAGAGTAAATATACATGCCATTCAGTCCTGGTTTACAAAGTTAAATTTCCTGCCATAGGATGGGAATTGACATGCATATGCATTGTACCTAACAGGGATATTGTTAAGTGAGTTTATAGAATCTGAGGACGAATTCCCACTCCCTGAATCTCAGTGCTTTATAACCAGAAAGTATGATAACTTCACAGAGATAACGTTTTAGAAATGTGTCTGAAATTCTATTTTAAATGGAGACTCAATCTTTAAGCAGTAATTATATTTTTTTAAGTCCTCATGTTAAATCATTGGCTATATTGTAATTTATTTTTTCCTTTGCCTCTTTGAATACATCTACCTTAAAAATTACTATCAACCCCATTTGTGAGGAATGTTCAAGGAAAAAGCAGAACAAAAACTTCTCTTTATGGTTTGTATCATTTGAGTTAGGACCTCTTCACCCTAAGATTGTGGAAATAGTCACCTGTATATTCTTCTGGTATTTTTTCTTGTTTTCTGTTGTAAATAATGTTTAAATTCTTAATTTCCTTACATGATTTGTATGTGAGTTGGGATCTCATTTTCTCTCTCTCTCTTTTTTTTTTTTTTTTGCCTTTTTTATTTTTTTAAAATTTTAATTTCAGTGTAGTTAAAATACAGTGTTACATTAGTTTCAGGTATATAATACAGTGATTCAACATCATTTTCTTTTTTTTTTTTTTAAGGAATGCCAGTTGTCATCTTAAATCATTCTTTCCATTGATCCTTTATCTAGTCAGGTGTCAGGAATAGACAGACTCTTAATTTCTGTTCTGTTTTGGCACCTGTCAGGTCATGAAAGCTTTCACTCTCTGAGAAGGGAATAGCAGAATGAATGGTAGGAAGCATGTGGTTCGCTTGGAAGAAGCTGCAACCACCACCTGTGGAAACAAGTCCTTCATTTCTCCAGAGCCATCTCCTCAGTAAACATGATATACTTGCCTTGAGCCTTTACGTACTTGGTGTTGCCCTCTCTCTCACATCATCGCCAGACTGAGTGATGGTCACTGAAGGAACAAGTAGCCCAAGAGGCCGAGGTTCTGAGGAAAAGCTAACAGTTGGTGCAGCTCCGTAAGAAGAGCTGTGCTGAGATGTAACGGTACGCAGTTGGGATGCAAGCTGTCATGGTGGCAGGACGGCTCTGGAGTAAATGTACAAAGAGCAAGGTCCTTTGCGATTCTGGCCATTTGGTGTCTGAGTTACAATCCATCTGAATTTGTCTCCTAGGATGGGAATATACCACTGCCGCTTGCAGTACAAAATGGCCACAGTGAGGTCTGTCGCTTTCTCCTGGACCACGGAGCAGATGTAAATTCCAGGGACAAAAATGGAAGGTACCACAGAAATAGAAATCATGGGATTTCGGCGATATCTACATTCTGGGAGTCTCAAAATAACAAAGCTATCTTTTGGATCGTTTGTTATAAAGTGCTTTTAATTTTTCCATCTTTTGCCTTTTTTTTTTTTTTTTAAGTAAACTCTGTGCCCAACATGGAGCTCAGACTCATGACCTTGAGATCAAAAGCCGCATATTCTACTGACTGAGCCAGCCAGGCACCCCTCCTGCCTCTTCTGATAATCCAGAATCTGTTTTGACTTAAAATAGTTTTCCCTCAGACCTCAGTCTATGATGAGATTATTGAATACTAAAGTGACTAGGCCATTTCCAGTGGCTTCTCATGCAAAATTAAACAAGAGTAAACATACTGGCTGCTTTTAAAAATAGTCATAATGATGTATAGGTACTTTTAAATGCTTGAGGTGAAAAGAGGACATAATTTATGCCAATCATATTAAATTCCATCATATTTAGAAGATTATGTCTCTGTTATTTGACCTAATATGGGTTTAATGTTTTGATTTAATCTGAAGTTTAAAAACAAAAATAACCTAATTTCACCTCGCAAGCACTACATTTCAAATTCCCTAGATTAAGTGTATATGTTTAACTGCACTTATCATCTTTTCCTTGTTTTCAAGATAAATGACTTCCCAAGAAAGTGTCTTCCCATTGTCTTAGTACTAATTTGGTGTCTCCTTTTTTCTTTAGAACTGCTCTCATGCTGGCTTGTGAGATCAGCAGCTCTAATATCGTGGAAGCCTTAATTAAAAAGGGTGCAGACCTAAACCTTGTAGATTCTCTTGGACACAATGCCTTACATTATTCCAAACTCTCAGAAAATGCAGGAATTCAAAGCCTTCTATTATCAAAAATCTCTCAGGATTCTGGTATGTGAAAGAAAATAGCCAGTGTTGTTTTAAATTTATCCACTCCATTTTCCCCAAAGGGTAAAGGAATGTGTGCAATATGATCTATTTTGTTATTCCTTTAAACATATTCTTGAAGAAAAATGAAGTGTTAAATATTGTGTTTGTTGTGTTATGGGTGTGAGTGTGTGTGTGTATGTGTGTATCCGCCACCAAAAGCCCCAAAGTGGATGTGAGTCATGGTCCTTACAGTTCTGTTTTTTTTTTTTTTTTTTTCACTTTTTCCTCTACAGATTTAAAGACACCAACAAAACCAAAGCAGGTATTTATCTTTGGGAGAGAGAATTTTTTTATCATCATAGCTTGTGGGACTTTGAAAATGTCCTGATTAAACCACTCTGTGGTCCACTAGAAAAGTGACAAAAACTATGTTGAAAATACTTAAGGAGTGAAAAATCTTTAGAATAAATGATTCATTGTTAGAAAATGGTAAAGGTTTTCTTAATGGTTTACCCTGTTGCCAAAGCATGTAACTTAAAAACTTGCTACTTATATATTCATCTTTTTCTGAAATGTACTAATATTTTCTGTCGGTGTAAAAATGTTTGGTTAACTCTGTGAACAAACAACAATATTTTAAATGCTTGTGTATCCCATGGATTATAGACATCCATCCATGGCAGTGTGAGATATTTAATGAACATAAGAGGTTTAGCTTGTCCTTTCATTTTAATTGGAACTTTTCTAAAATGTCGTTAGAGTTAGAGAAATTGAGAAGATTGCCCTGTTATTTTGGAGTTTTTCCCTAAAAACATCATCAGTGTTTTTTCCTTTTTTGATGAGATGTATAGTTGACTGTTGTATTTATTTACTTATACATCAAGGTTCTTGAAAAATTGTCATAAACAGGAAATAGTCAATACTGAATTTATTAGGTACTAGCTGGGTTACTTATTTATAACCTTCAGAGATGACATTTCCTCTTGCCCCCATATCAACATTCTTTAAGGAAAGGAGTGAAAATAATGCAAAGGTGGTAGAAATACCACTGCTTTGCATTAAGACAGAAGCTAAACGAGGAATGTATCCTGGGTTCTAAACGGGGGCAGACAGCTCCCCATCCTCCACTTTCCCAATTCTCCACACCAACTTAATCTGGTTTTGTCTTGTGTTTTATATTTTCTGGCTATTAAAGCATGGGCTGCTGGAAGAGCACTTGGAGCATGCATATTACTTATTTTTATGTGGGTAGATGTCAGGTCTTGATAAAATAAGAAATGCATGAACAGTTGAGGTTTTTCTCATTTGGTTGATGAAGCTGTTTGTTCAGACTTTACTAACCGAACTAACCCACCTCCGTTCTTTGGACTGTGATAACTTCCAGCATGATCAAGTCTCTAAACTAAGCTCAGAAAGAAGTGGAACTCCAAAAAAACGCAAAGCTCCACCACCTCCTATCAGTCCTACCCAGGTAAAGACAAAAGCAAACCAACAGTGAACAAACATACAACATCACCAACAAAAAACCACGATTTTGTCATTTTGTGTTCAGGCCAAAAAGAAATGTTTTAGGATTGACCCTTAAATGCACATTTTTTTTTTCACATTTATTTTTTTAAAAGATTTTATTTATTTATTTGACAGAGCACTAGAGAGCGAGAGCAAGCAGGAGTGCGGGGAAGAGGGAGAGGGAGAAGCAGGCTCCCTGCTGAGCAGGGGGCCCAATGTGGGCCTCGATCACAGCACCCTGGGATCATGACCTGAGCAGAAGGCAGACACTTAACTGACTGAGCCACCCAGGCACCCATTAAATGCACATTTAAAATTTTCTTTACTGGTTTTCAATTACAGAGGGCGGTATGAAGGATTTTGATTATTAGTATGGAAATAATGTTGATTCTTATTTATTGCAAGGCTGAGGAGTTGAACAGTATCTTTTTTAAAAGCCTCAAGGAAAAAAAATAAAAATAAATAAAAGCTTCAGGGAAATTTCTCAAAATCTTATGACAGAAACTTCTTCCTTAAGTGAAGCTCAGTCTCCTTTTAGGACCTCACATTAATAGCTCACATGAAGGCAGGAAGAATGGGTGGCTGGTGAGGCAGTTAACTGAAAATGAATTTTAGTTGGTTTCTTAAAACACTGCTAAAATATATTTGCCTTTCTAATTACATTGAAGGTTGGCTAATATTAAAAGCAGCTTTCATTTCTGAGCTTATAGTGACTGTTGCCTAGAGGAGGAAGCTCAGATGTCTGTGAAATCTCTCAAGTAGTTGAGAGGAATATCTCCTCTGATAAGTTATGTTAACTATGTGAGCATATTCACTGATAATATTCTCAACATGCCACAGTTTTACAGGTTTTGAAAATTGCTTCTCATGACTAGAGGAACAGAGTTACTTAGTTATACTCTGCAAGGTTTCGGAAAGTATTTGAGGGGCTACATTAAGTTGAAAATACTCTTGAATTAATTGAGACTAAGGATGGTTACCATTAGATTTATTTGCATTGGTTAAGTAGGTGAATTCTTTGGCACTAGAGAAGAAAAGACTTTGAAGAAGCATTCTTTATCTGTGATTTTCATTTTGTCTTTTAAGTTGAGTGATGTGTCTTCCCCAAGATCAATAACTTCAACACCACTTTCGGGAAAAGATTCCGTGTTTTTTGCCGAACCACCCTTCAAGGTAATTCCTTTCCGTGTTCAATTAATTTTGAATCGTAAGATACATAATAGATATGATTTAAGTGGTACAACATTGGGCAAAACAAAATAGACTTCCCAGTGATTGGTTCACAACCTTTTCATTATGAAGCACCCTTCAGTTATTTCTCTTGGCCTAGACTCCACACACAAAGAGTAGAATGAATAAATTACATTCATTAAGTAATAACTAATTTTCTTCCTTTTAAAAAAAAGGGACAAAGATAAGAACTTAACTGATAGCCAGTCTTCTTACTAAATCGAGTTGATATAATGCCAATCAAAAAGAAAGAAATATTGATTATTCTTTGATGTCTTACTGACAAGTAATTGTATATTTTTAATTAAGGTTTTTTGTAAACTAATATGCATTAATTTTAGAAAATCCATTCTACCTGATTCTCTAGATTTGTTGTTGGAAAGTATTTTAAGAAATGGGGGGACATTTCAATTTACTAACTGTTTACCTAACCATCACTAGGAAATCATGCTTGGAAAGAAAATAAAAATTGTAATTGTTGAAATGAAATTGCAGTGGTATCTATATTGCTTTCCCCCATCTAAGAATTACCAAATATAAATTTTCTTTGAACTTGGATGCACAGTGATCTGAAAAAGATTGTCAACCTGACATTTCTCCCACTTTTAACTAGATTTTATTAATAAATTTTTTTTTAAAAGATTTTATTTATTTGACAGAGAGAGACACAGTGAGAGAGGGAACACAAGCAGGGGGAGCGGGAGAGGGAGAAGCAGGCTTCCCGCTGAGCAGGGAGCCCGATGCGGGGCTTGATCCCAGGACCCTGGGATCATGACCTGAGCCGAAGGCAGACGCTTAAAGACTGAGCCACCCAGGCGCCCCTTTATTAATAAATTCTTAAGATGAATATCTATGCAAGGAAAGGCAAGAAAGTTTTATGCTCTTACAATTAGTACCCTACTATCTTCTAATATAATCATGGCTCAAAGGATGCAATGCATTCCAAAGAATAATATCACAAATTACAATTTTCAGAAAAGGAGTGTAAAAAGACTTTCATTTCTTTACCCTCCCCCCTCCACACACACACAAAAGATAAGAAGTGACACCATTTAGAATGGCTAAAGTTTAAAAATACCAAATGTTGGTGATAATGTGGAAGAACTAGAATTGTTTCGCTCTGCTGGTAGGAATGTAAAGTGGCAAAACTACTTTGGAAAACTGTTTGACAGTTTCTTTAAAAGTTCATCATACACCTAACATATGATCTAGCCGTCTATTCACTGATGTTTATCCAAGAGAAATTAAAATGTATGTCTCAAAAAATTATATACACAAATGTTTATAGCAGCTTTATTCACATATCCCAAAACTAGAGACAATCCAAATGTCCGTCAGCAAGGGAATGGATGAGGATAATGAGATATGTCCATACAATTAATTATTACCCAGCTATAAAAAAAGAATGCAGAGCTGTACAAGCATTATCACAGATGAATCTGAAAGTCATCATGCTGAGTGAAAGAAGCCTGACACAAATTCATACCCATGACATTCCATTTATAGGAATTCTAGATAATGCTACCAGGAGAGTGGTGGTTGCCCGGGGCTGGGGCAGGCAGGGATTGGCTGTGTTGAAGCAGGAGAAAACTTGTCGGGTTAATGGAAATATTCTGTGTCTTGATTATGGTGGTGGTTCCATGGGTGTGTATCTATCAGAGCCCCTTACACCATAAACTTTAAATGGATGCTCTTTATTGTACCTTAAGATAGCTGAAAAATTAAACATCTATTTTTATAAAGTGAAAAGACAGCTTTTGGTAAAGATGAGTACTTGCCAAAAATGAGCCACTTTATTTTTAGCATTTGGGCTTTCACAAAAGTTCCTTTGCTGAAAACTTATCTCTCTTATCAGGTCTATGGCTCATCTGGATGAAACATAGTAATTTCTGGCAACTCGTTGTATGTTGTTTTGAAATGAAAGTCTGGCTTTGAAGTTGCAAGAATTTTTGCAATGTATTTAGCAGACAGATACTCAAGGACAAAGGTTTAGAGGAAATCTTTAGAGGATTGTCAATCCATGACCATAAAGCTTTTTAGTCCCTTATAAAATTACCTTTATCTTCCCTGACAGGTCTTATTTACTACAATTTCTCTTAGAAATATTAATAATAATACATTAATAGCAATTAATGTATAAAATAGTAAAGCTAAAAAATAGTTCTAATGTATTTTAATCAATGTATTACCCAGACAGGTAAAACTTGTATTTCACTATGAAAGTAATATTTGCCATCTCAAGTTTTAGGACAAAGACATAAAGTTATTACATTAAAGGATATTTGTATTATACTTACTAAATGAAATTTCTGAAAAATATTTTGAGGTTATATGCTCTGGAACCTAACGTTTTAGAGATTATACCTCAGTAGATAATTGTCACTTCTATTCACTTATATTTTAAAATATTTTCTTTCCTGGGGATTTTCTAACTTTTTCTAGAAGGCTAACTGTTCTGTGTCAACTCAGGGGGGAAAATTTGCTTGCTTCTCTTGTGGAATACTACAGTCAGGAATATTCTTTTAAGTCATTTTTGCGTTCCAGCAGGCTGAGATCAGTTCTATACGGGAAAACAAAGACAGACTAAGTGACAGCACTACAGGTAAGATGAAGGGAGAGCTGTTTTTGTCCCTTTGACAGGTCTGTAGTCCATGGCCATTTAAAGAGAGCAAAGGCCAAGCCGGGAGGGAGTGCAGGGAGGTTGGGGAACCCTGGGGACCCCAGAGCTGCCAATACTACACAGGCTGACACTTTCCTTGCTTCTGGAGGCTTTTACCTGGATTTTAAGGAGTCTGTAAGCATGGATATGAAAAAAATATACCTCTGTTTTCATTTGTCCCTAAATGTCAGCACTTCCTTCAACTACGAATATAGACAAATAACCCCCAGTGATATTAGCAGACCGGTGACTTTGCCAATAAGAGAATTCACAGATAATGTCATGTCACCTTACTCTTACCGCGGGTATCTGGAAATATCATTGACAGTCTCTCTGCTAGAAATATGGCAGTTACTAGACCTGCTGCCAGATCTGGTTATTTGGTGTATTACAAAATCAGCTCTTAAATTACTATAGCCTGGGTATTCTCTTTTATGCATTTTATTTTATTTTAAAGATTTATTTATTTTAGAGAGAGAGCACATTCATGCGCAAGAGGAGGGAGGGGCAGAGGGAGAGAATCTTCAAGCAGATGCTCCCCTGAATGCAGAGCCCAAAGTGGGGCTCGATCCCACGACCCTGAGATCATGACCTGAGCCAAAAACCAAGAGTCTGTTGCCTAACTGACTGAGCCACCCAGGTGCCCCCCTTTTATGCATTTTGAATAAAACATTATTTTGTGATGAGGTCCTCTGCTGCCATCAGCAAGCAGCAGTCCTTGCCACTGGGCAGCAAGTTATTTCCTGAAAGGAGAGCCAACTGAGCATTTCTGTGGCTGCAGGATCTAACTTTCCCACTTTGGATTTTAAACAGATATATGCAAAGACAAAGTGTTAATGAAGTCACACACAGTCATACTGTCTTTACCAAGACAAGGTTTAATTCATTGCCTTAAGAGTCCATCCTGTGGGTTTACTCTCTAAGAATGTAGTATAGTACCCCCAGAGTCCATTTAAAATGTCACATAAATTATTTCTAAAGCTCCTTTTGCTTCAACATTCACCTTCTTAGCCTATTATGCATTTCATGTGTTTGGAACTTTTAACTTACAGAATTTAGAAATACTAAACTTTCTAATTCCTGGCAGAGATCCATGTTAATTGAACACTTGTTACGTTGGATTCTTTAAAAACCATCCATTGTATTTTATTTTTTTTAAAAATTATTTATTTTAGAGAAAGCCTGTGTGCAAGCAGGAGGAGGGGCCGGGGGAGAGAGAGCATCTCAAGCAGACTCCCCACTGAGCACAGAGCCCGATGCAGGGCTCAATCTTAGGACCCTGAGATCGTGCCCTGAGCTGAAACCAAGAGTCGGACACTCACCTAACCCAGGCACCCCTCCATTGTATTTGAGAAGTAATTTCTGTAGTTTAGAATTAAAGTCATGCTCTCAGTCCTCTGGTTTATTCCAAACTCAACAGACATTATGTCAAGGGGACTCTATAAAGCTGTGGTTTAGGCACCAGACATCAGAAGTAAACATTTCTATGAAGAAATGTCATTTTGTATCCTTCCAAATTAAGAGTAAAGTTTTCATCTTTGCATTAAATGCCTGTGAGAAAATAATAAAATAATGGTAAAGAATGTAGGTCAGTGCTATTCAGATTGTGGTCTGTAAACTGTTGCCAGTCTACAGGAAATAAGGAGTTTGCACCAGAAAGCCATCCAGCGATACCGCTAAGCACACGGTTTTGTCCAGCACTTTTTTTTTTTTTTCTCCATAGGAACACTGTATGAAGGAGGAGGTGTGCTGAATGACATTCTGGAATAAGGTTCTTGTCTCAGCACATTGAATAGCATTGCTTTAGATGCCATTTCAGCATGATAATCAGTAGGATGTCAAAAAGTGGTGGTTTACCGACAGTAGGATTGTGGGATCCAGAGGCGACCATTTCGTGGTGGGGTGGTCATCGGGTCATCGAATGCTGGGTCCTGAAAGATGCCTACAAGTGACCTAGCCAAAGAGATGCTGCAAGGGCAGTCGTATGCATGAAGAATTAAAGCAGCAGCTTTGTGTTGAGAATATAGAGGGTATGATGGAAAGTTTGGATCTGAGGAAGATGTGTTACTAGAGATCAAGGGCCATACACCTGAAAAAGTACATTGGCACCAGATGATGGAAGCCTTAACCCGAGGAAGCAGTCTGGAGATTAATTTTGGAGAGAGAGAGTGATTAAAGCACTTGAACCACAGGACTGACCCTATCAAAGCATGTTTCAGGAAGATTAGCCTGAGTAAGGCGATATTTTTACTACGGAGAGAGAGAGAGAGAGAGAGAGAGTTTTGTGACAGTGCTGTTTGCAGGATTTCCAAGCCGGGTGATAAAGTTTGAACTAGAGTAACAGTGGTAGGGATAAGAAGTAAACCAGGATATTTCTAAAAGGATTCACAGAAATGAGACTTACTAGGCATGGGAGGAACAAAAAGCAACCAAGGTATGATACTTAATCAGGTGAATGGAAAATATATGAACAAATCCCATCAGTTTTCGGATGAGCTTGTATGCGTCCAGGCATCTGGTCCTGTGCTGGGAATACCTCAGGAAGGAAACCCCAGGACCCGAGAATTGCTGTTTGTCTACCCAGCTGCTGGAGGCTTTCTTTCATAGTCAGGACCAGGAATAAGCCCTGGATTGGGTAGAAAGTGACTTGGTTAAAGGTCAGAGAAAGACTGGTTTAGTTTTTTTAAATATTATTTTAAATTGCTTTTCACTTTTCCAAGGTGCTGATAGCTTATTGGATATAAGTTCTGAAGCTGACCAACAAGATCTTCTTGTCCTGTTGCAAGCAAAAGTCGCTTCTCTTACCTTACACAATAAGGAATTACAGGATAAATTACAGGTGGGTACAGAGATTGCTACCACGGACTCTTCTGTAGTGTGAGACTATGGGGTTTTTTCAGGTTAGTCAGATGATACTTTGTTTTAAACATCTCATATAGTTTCTTCTTTTTTTTAATATAGTTAGCCTCGAGCATTTTACGGTTTCAAATTATCTGTTGAGAAAGGAGGTATTCATTAACTACATTTCTGTAAATTGCTAAATTGGTCAATTATACATAATTATATGCTTAGTCTATGTTATAGATGACATATATGTATATGTGTGTGTGCGTGTGCATGTACAATGACCCATTCATTTAGTAGAGCTGATCATTTAGCAGATTTAAGAACTTAAATAAGAAGTAGCTGTACTAATAAGCCCATTGCCCCTTTCGGCAACTGGAATAATATAAGCAAAGGAAAAATTATGAGTCAGAGGCTTTAGGGCCAAAACAAATCTTGTGTTTTTAAAGTGGCACACATCAGCGGTCCTAATAGAGCACACAATAAGCTCAGAGTCATTAATCTGCCTCTCACGTCCCGGACCATATTTTGTCATGGGGCCAGAGTACACATAAAGGAACCCTGTGGCTCTCCGATACAGAAGCTCTGGCTCTGGATTTGTTCTCTCCTTCCAGTTGCTTGCTCACCTGACCACATCTTTGGTGCCATTTCCTTCTTGCCTTTTTCCCAGGCCAAGTCACCCAAGGAGGCAGAAGCAGACCTGAGCTTTGAATCCTACCATTCCACTCAAACTGACTTGGTTCCACCCCTGGGCAAACCTAGTGACACCTCTCCCCCAGACTCCAAATCCTCTCCACCCGTCTTACCACATTCCTCGAGTAAATCCACTTGCGACAGCGATGGCCGAATTCAGCAACTACAAGAGATTTTGCAAGACCTGCAGAAGAGACTTGAGAGCTCTGAAGTGGAGAAGCAGCAGCTCCGGGCCGAGCTCCAGTCCAGAAGGGCCGAATCGGTGTGCGTAAACAGTGCGGAGATTTCCGAGAACAGCTCCGACCTCAGCCAGAAACTGAAAGAAACTCAGAGCAAGTACGAGGAGGCAATGAAAGAAGTCCTCAACGTGCAGAAGCAAATGAAACTGGGCCTCGTCTCGCCCGAAAGCGTGGACAGTTATTCGCGTCTCCAAGAGCTAAGGATCACCGAGGAGGAAATAGATGTGCTAAAGCAGGACCTCCAGAATGCAGTGGAAGAAAGTGAAAGAAATAAAGAGAAGGTGAGGGAGTTAGAAGAAAAACTTATAGAGAGGGAGAAAGGTATGGTCATCAAGCCTCCCGTGGAAGAATACGAGGAAATGAAAAGTTCATATTGCTCTGTTATTGAGAACATGAATAAGGAGAAGGCATTTTTGTTTGAGAAGTACCAAGAGGCCCAAGAAGAAATCATGAAATTAAAAGATGCCCTAAAGAGTCAGGCGACCCAGGAGGCTGGGGACGAAGCCGGGGACATGAAAGAGGCCATGAACAGGATGATAGATGAACTCAACAAACAGGTGAGCGAGCTGTCCCAGCTGTACAAAGAAGCCCAGGCGGAGCTGGAGGATTACAGGAAGAGGAAATCTCTCGAAGACGTAACAGCTGACTATATCCATAAAGCGGAGCATGAGAAACTGCTGCAAGTGACAAACGTATCCAGAGCTAAGGCAGAAGAGGCCCTGTCCGAAATGAAGTCTCAGTACTCAAAGGTGTTGCATGAGTTGACCCAGCTCAAACAGCTGGTGGATGCCCAGAAAGAGAACTCTGTCTCCATCACAGAACATTTGCAAGTGATAACCACGCTGCGGGCTACGGCCAAAGAGATGGAGGAAAAAATAAGCAGTCTCAAAGAGCACCTTGCAAGCAAGGAAGGAGAAGTGGCAAGGCTGGAGAAACAGCTCCTAGAAGAGAAGGCCGCTATGACGGACGCCATGGTGCCCAGGTCTGCCTACGCAAAGCTCCAGTCGTCGTTAGAAGGTGAGATGAGTGTGTTGGCCTCAAAACTGAAGGATTCGGTAAAAGAGAAAGAGAAGGCCCATTCAGAGCTTACCCAGATAAGAAGTGAGGTGTCACAAATGAAAAGGGAAAAGGAGAATATTCAGGCTCTCTTAAAGGCCAAAGAGCAGGAAGCAAATGAACTTCGTCAACAATTCCAGGATGCTCGGGAAGAACTGGAAGACATGAAGAGACAGTCGGAGAGCTCTTCCAAACTGGAGGAGGATAAAGACAAGAAGGTTGGTGAGATCGCATTGCTGTCCCATTTCTAGCTAGCAAGCCTTTACCATAGGTAACGTTTTTAGCGTTGGTTAGCACTGACCTGTTGTGAATGCACAAAAGCTCTGCATGTGACTCCATCTGTCCCCACGGCCACATTAAGAATAGTAGGTGGGACATTTCTGTTTAAAAAAACGCCACTGATTGTCTATCAGTCCCCTTATATTAAAGCATTTTCACATGTGCACATATTTTCCCTTTTAAAATGATTTTACAGAAGCTCTGCCAAGTGGCAGGGATCAGAAGTGAACCCACAAACTGAAAGGCATTTGTGACCCATCTTGAACTTCAACTCTTATGGAATCCAGAAAGATTCTTCCATCATATGGAAACCTAAATATTCCCAGACTTAATCCTGCTTCCCTAAGCTCCAGGAGCTTTCCCCTGAGTCCGTGGAAGAACCACCCTCCCTGGCCCTCATTGGCAAAGGTGGATAGGAGGGGAAGGCAGGGGTTGGGGGGAGCAGGTGGGTAGAGAGGGGCTGGGTATGGCTTGGAGGAAGGAGGAAAACAAAGGGGGCAACTCGGAGAACCGAGTGCCGAGCCTGAATCGGCTCTGCATCCCCAGTCCTCTGGGTCAGGTGTTCTGAAGGGCGCTGGTCAGAGCACTGTTGATCATTTATTCCTTTAATATAATGAAGATTTCAAAAAGAGTTTCCAAAGCCAAGGGGGCAGGGATTCGGAAGGCAGAGGCTGGGTTGCGGGGAGTTGTGTTTACTTTAAAGCAAGATGTCCAGAGAAATCGGGGTTCCTAGAACTTCTTCCAGACTGCCTGTGTCAGCGCTATTGAAGAGTGCATAGCTGTCTCCAAATAAAGGATGCCTAAAATCCTGGTTCTGATTTATTTTTTCAACAACCCCCCTTTCAGAGTGAAAAAGGATATCAGTGCCGTAGCGTCTGTTACCCTCATGCCTCAAAGCACAAGATTTAATCCGGGGACCTTATTTGAATATAATGGCCTTAGAGGGCCATGTGGGCTTGCTGATTTTGTTACCTATTTCATTTTATGGGCTTTCTTTAAAAAATAAAAAAAGAAATTGTTCCAAAGTTTCGAGTCCCAGAGGCCAACGAGGGGCTCTGTTCAAGGCTTGGAACGCTCTGGAATTTTGCTTCTGCAGGCCCTTTCTTGCCTACTGATAGTTTTCCTTTCTCGCCAGATCAGTGAGATGTCGAAGGAAGTCACCAAGTTGAAGGAGGCCCTAAACAGCCTCTCACAGCTCTCGTACTCCGCGAGCTCATCCAAGAGGCAGAGTCAGCAGCTGGAAGCGCTGCAGCAGCAGGTCAAACAGCTCCAGAACCAGCTGGCTGTGAGTGGGCTTCTCTCCCTGCCTGCTGGGGGCTGGGCCGGGCAGATTACGCACCAGCTCAGCTGGAGATGGGGGTGGGTGCAGGTTGGGGTGAGAAGAGTCCCAACCTATGGGAGTGGGGCTCCGCAGAGCAACTGACTGAAGACTTCCAGGGTGAGGGCGGGAGGAGGGCGTGGCGGCATCCCCGGGCGTCGCCTGCATCGAGATGGGTCGCCCGGACCTCTGAGAAGGGAGGAATCGGCAGGACAGTGGCGCAGGCTTCGTGGTTACGCATCCACTAACTGTTCACCCCCTCTCCGTCTTTCTCCCACGGTCATTACTATCTCTGGCAGTGGCAAGAACTTTTTCTTATTAGGGGCCAGGATCTCTGATAGGTGTGTATCTGTGCATCTGACTTGGCTCCTCTCCTTATTTGACCTGGGAAAGTCCTCTCCTATCTGTATTTATTTCCTATGGCTATTGTAACAGACCAACACAGACTTGGTTTTAAAAAAAATCTGTGCTCTTAAAATTCTGGAGATCGGGGCGCCTGGGTGGCTCAGTTAAGTGTCTGGCTCTTAGTTTTTGGCTCAGGTAGTAATCTCAGGATCCTGGGATGGAACTGCATGGGGCTCTGTGCTCAGCGCAGAGTCCGCTTGTCCTTCTCCCCTCCCCCTCTGCTCTTTCCCCTCCCCCGCATCGCACTCGCTCACACTCTCGCTCTCTCTCAAATAAATGAATAAAAATCTTTAAGAAAACACTCTGGAGATGTTAAGTGTGAAATCAGTTTCACTAAAGGCAAGGTATTAGCAAGGCTGGTTCCTTCTAGAGGCTCTAGGGGAGAATCCACTTCCTTGCCTTCGCTAGCTTTTAGAGGCCACCCAACTTCCTTGGCTCATGGGTCCTACCTCCAGCTTCAAAGCCTATCACTCCACCCCTGGCTCTGCCCTCCCGTCTCCTCCTCCTCTTGCTTCTCTCTTATAAGGACCCTTGTGATTACGTTTAAGGGATACCCAGATAGTCAGAATAAACTTTTCCTCCATCTCAAGATCCTTAACTTAATCACAACTACAAGGTCCCTGTCACCATATAGGTAACATTCCACAGGTTGTGGGGATTGGAGCGCGGACATCTTTGGAGGGTCATCATTTCACCTCCCACAACATTTGTGAAAGTTTTAGCTGACACGGGGATGTTACATTTTCCACGTGAAGCCAAGGGTTAGTCTGTCCTGGACTATCTCTAGTTCCCATTGACAAACAGGACCTAGATTGTAAGAGTTCTTCAGTATAGACTTGATACTGGTGAATTCAGGTTTCTGCAGTCCTTACGCTGGCTGGCCACAGAGTACAAAACTAGCTTTTTTGTGTTATCAGCTCTAGCAGTGAAGGACTGATCGGGGAGGAGAAGAAGCTCCCTGTTGTGTTGTGCAGGTCATTTTTCTGATGAAGCGGTTATCACACACTTATAGATAAAATGCTGGTGGTTCATACAATCATTTTTACAATTTTCAACACATTTAATGAATATTCTACAAGGTGCTAATGATCTAAAAGTGAGTAAGACACAGTCCCCACCTCCACCGAACTTATACTCAATGACTTTCCGTATTTTCAGTGTGGTCAGCCTCCATTGGTAGAGAGTTGTCCAACATGTTCCAGGCATACAGAGGAAATGTCTCGAAAGGCTTTCCTGCAGGAGGTGATGCTTGTGCTGAGTCTTGAAGGGATAGGTCGGAGGCAGCAAGGACTGGGATGTGACATGTAGATGGCCCTTGGCAGCCTCGGCAAAGACAGACCCAGTGGAGTGGTGGGATGGAATCCGGACTGCAGTGGGCTGTCCTAGAGAAGTGACCAAGGAGCCAGTGTCTGATGGGCTGCAGAACCACAGCAGGCGGCAGGGGAAGCCTAAAATAGATTTTCTGGAAAGAGAGGAGCTGGTGACCAGAGGGTGAGGTGCTTTCTTTTGAGATTTCAGAGGTAATGACAGAGGCAGGTGAGAGTGTATGGCTGGAAGGAGGAGGAGCAAGTCATTGAGGTGGACATTGGGGAAACTGAGACCGAGGTGTTCGTGGCTCATGCATGTGGGTATCGCCGTCATCCAAATGATGACAGATACAGGGATGGAAAGGAGGACAATGACCAGAAGATGAAGTTTTAAATAATTGAATGGAGGTATCCAAAAGGTGAGAGGAAGCAACACAGAGGGAGGTCCTAAGCCCACCTTCTAATGGTGTGACCTTCAAAGGACTGAGGTTTCAAGGTTGTCCTTGAATAGGAAGGACATGTCATGTTCTGACACTCATAGGAAGGAGGTGAGAAGGGTATTGATGGACTTTTGTAGACTTTGGAAGTGATCTATATATGATAGTCTCAATTTTTATCATGAAATAGGAGGAAAACCATCTCCTTAGAAAAGTTCAGAGCTGAGTGAAGATTCTTGAAATAGTTACTGAGAGGAACTGGAATAATAACTCAACAAGGAGAAACAAGCATGAACAGCTGTACTGAGGAACCAGTTGAGATTGGTGCCACCACCCTGTTCGTCTCCTGGGTGCTCTGACAGCTGAATAATTGAGCTCCCTGGGGACTCTATGACTGGCCAAATAGTGAGAAACCAATAGCTTCTTTTATTTTTTTTAAGATTTTATTTATTTATTTGACAGAGAGACACACTGGGAGAGGGAGAAGCAGGCTCCCCGCGGAGCCTGGGATCATGACCTGAGCCGAAGGCAGACGCTTAACGACTGAGCCACCCAGGCACCCCAAATAGCTCCTTTTAAAAGAATAGATTTTTTAAAATTAAATTAATATTTGGTTATTGTAGAGAAGTTGGAAAATACAGAAGACTCTGGAAAAGTTTCTGTAAATAAAAATAGTCCATCATCCAACCACTCAGAGCTGGTCACTTTTAGCATTTGGTATGTTTCTTTGCACCATTTATTTTGGGAGAATGTGTCTGTGTATTTGCATAAGTAGGTATACAAACATTTTTTGCAACAAAGGTGGGATTATGTCATAACTACTTTTTCATGAATTTTCTCCTAGAGTTGACATACCAAAAATATGAAATCGGTAGATTTTTTCCCCTAAGAATATCGACAAATGTTTCCCTACAAATAGTGACAAGTGGTCAGAAATATACAACCCAGTGAGCCCACACCAATTTTAAAAGCCTCATATGCTAGGGCGCCTGGGTGGCTCAGTTGGTTAAGCGACTGCCTTCGGCTCAGGTCATGATACCGGAGTCCCGGGATCGAGTCCCGCATCGGGCTCCCTGCTCGGC